GATTACAAAAATTTATGAAAAATTGTTAAACATTGATTATAAAGGGCAATAACTCCTTAAGGGGTCAATTGACAATTTTGGTCATGTTGACTTATTTGTAGATCTTACTTTGCTGTACATTATTGCTGTTACAGTTTATCTCTATCTATAATTATATAGATAATAACCAAAAGCTGCAATATTTCCTTAAAATTACCAATTCAGGGGCAGCAACCCAACAACAGGTTGTCTGTTTCGTCAGAAAATTTGAGGCAAATAGATCTTAACCTGATGAACATATTAACCCATTGTCAGATTTACTCTAAATGCTTTAGTTTCAGAGATATAAGTCAAAAACTGCATTTGACCTCTATATTCTATTTTTAGCCATGGCGGCATGTTGGTTGGTAGGCGAGGTCGTCGAACACACTTTTTAAACTAGATACCCCAATAATGATTGTGGCCAAGTTTGGTTAAATTTGGCCCAATAGTTTCAGAGGAAAAGATTTTTGTAATAGTTAAGGACAATGACAGACGACGGACGCCAAGCGATGAGAAAAGCTCACTTGGCCCTTTGGGCCAGATGAGCTAAAAAAGAGAAAAGTAAAAAATATGATTATAGAAATAGATAAGAATGTCAATAGCATGGTTAATAGTCTTGTCATTAAAAATTGCCATAATTCAGTCTTCTGGAATGCAGTTAGGACACACCATCATCCTTGCCAATAGGGTTAAAGTCTGTGCAGTATATAGTGGTTTTAATATAACCCACAATTTTATTTCAGAGTCAATATATTTTATTTTTTCTTTTATATAAAAAAATACACCAAGATACTGAAAGCTAGTGTCAAGCTTTTCCATACATCTATACTACTAAAGGAAAAGACCGATTTCATTGAGCCACAACACCTCTGAAACCAAACAAAGTTGGAAATATTTGTGATATGACGTATAAATGTAGAGTTTTGTACTTCCTAAATTTGTCTTTGAAACAATCTTTTTTCCACAGAAAATGCCAATTTTTGAGAAAATATCCAAATTGGTAGACTGTTATTGATCCGTGTCTTATACGCTTTCGTGCATGCTCATTCGACATACTGCCCGAAAAATCTAAGTCAAAGTAAGAAGAAAGGATAGAAAATAGGACAGTTAGGCCTATAAGGATCCTGTATTGTATTGTAAGCGCATCATTTTGCTAAATTAAATGACATCCACTCTTTTTACTCAGGTGCAGAACTGTTCAAAAATGAAATGGGCGTTGAACATGTCGAGGTGATCCTTCCCCCTTTTTATGTGTAAACACAGGCATCCGTCGTCTAGACCCCTCCCCTTTTTAAGTGTAAACACATGCACTAAACTCCAGACCCCTCCCCCTTTTTATGTGTAAACCCCCCTACCCAATGTTTTGTTTCAACACTTGCCCAATTGTACCGCCATTACGCGGGCATTTTCTAGTATTTATTACAGATACAGGAACTATAAGGAAAAAAAAATTTATTTCTTGATATTTTGGCTTTCCTAAGTTTTTAAAATTGCATTGTCTCCCTTGATTAAGACGTAAGCAAATGGTTTTCTTCAAAATTAAAATAATACTAGAAAAAACCCGCGCAAGCGCGGGTTGAAATTTATTTGAAGTGTTTATGGTGATAACACAGCTTGGGTTCATGTTTCTCAAACTGTTTTTATGCACTGATGCATTATGTTGATAGCTTTGATTAGTTTGTAAGTTCTTCTTCCATAGCAGTTTGAATGTCCAATTAGTAGCTTCTGTCTCGGTGTTACACAGGTGCTCCTAGAACGGAGGAAATAACTCAGAGAAGAAGAAGACAACCTAGAACACTGATGATTTTAAAACATTTCTCAGTGGTGCTAGTTTGTAGTATTTCTTTTTTTTTCGAAAGGTGCGAGTCAAATTCTGTCTCTGTGTGATACGGGTGCTCCAAGAACGGAGGAAATAACGAATAGAAGAAAATTTAGAACTCTCTGATGATTTAAAACATTTCTTCAGTGGTGCGAGTTTGTAGTAATTTTTTTTTTCGAGTGGTGCGAGTTCTGTCTCTGTGTGACACGGGTGCTCTGAGAAAGGAGGAATTTACTAGGAGAAGAAGAAAACAATCTAATGATTAAACACATTTCTTCGAGTTTGTTATATTTCTTTTATTTTTTGAGTGGTGCGAGTTTGATAAAGTGATGCAAGTTGTAATAATTAGTGAGAGTGTTTGAGTAAGGCGAGTTAGCGGTGGTCCGAGATCCGTGACCTTCCACTGTTGCAATCAGACTTTCATTTTGGTTACTAGCTACGCCCAACGGACCTTCAATTTGAAAGAAAATCAAAATTAACTTTGCAGACCTTTTTAACCATCAGTATCGTCATTTCAAAGCCATATTATTATTGAAATTGAGATAATAAAATTATTCATCCCTGACCTTGCCGACGAGTGATAAAAGTTATTTTTAACCTTGTATTTCTTGGAAACACTAGGTTATAAATAGGTGCGATAAGTCACGTGACAAATCATTGACATTTTCGAACAAATTGAGTCTGTTTCGCTTTGGTGTCACATCTTCCAAGAGAAAGCCTGAAGATGACAAACGGTCTTCAGCGTCTTCCTCGGAACTAAACCAAAGAAATCAAACGAATCTCACTAGAGACCAAAAATACGATCGTGAAAAATGGGAACGGAAATTTAAACCTCACTGGAAAATCGATAGATCGTGGCTATATTTTGATGAATCAACTAGTCTAATGTCGTATACATGCCAGAAGTTCCCCACACATTCAGAAAAAAATAGTGCACTTGTAAGGGGAACACAAAATCTTAAAATAGACCAATAAAAATATACGAAGTGACACCCAAGAATTTATCTTGTTTAAAGTAGTGGATCCATGAAAGTGACCCAAATTTTAAGTCTAAAGATTTATTGTCAAGACACTAATCTTGGACAATGTATTCTCAAGCAGCAATGTAAGCATGATCAGTTAAATAGATATAAGGTTCTCTTCAACACTGCATACAGTGTTGCAAAAAAAAATGAAAACATAAATGAGCAGGGAGTCAAACAAGGTGGAATCCTTTCTGCCAATTTTTACAAGGCTTATAAATTAAAATATCCTTGATACTCTTGAATCCACAAACATTGGTTTTAAAATTGGAACCAATTACGTGGGCTGTCCAATGTCCACAGATGACATAATGCTATGTGCTGGTTCAGAACATGATGCCTCAATCCAACTCCGCATCATTGAAAACTGTACCAAATATCACCGGATAAAGATAAACAGCAAAAAAACAGAAATACTGCTGATTAACATGAAGAATAAAGAAATAAATCTTCAACTTTTTAATGAAAAAATCAACGTAAAGCAGAACATTAAACATCTAGGTATTGAAAGACAAGAGAAAAACAATCCAAACATAGAGAAAAGAATCTCTGCTGCAAGAGCTACAATGTATTCACAGAAAAAGACATTTAAACAACTTCTGTCTTTACCACAAAGAACTGTTGATGCTGCTATCTATATCCTGCCCGGAGCAGAAACTATCCAACAACTCATACATAAAGCTGTCATTTCCCTATTTCTCAGAATATCAAAAGATCCAAACTCAATTGAATGTAAAATTGGAATTAAGACAGCTAGCAACAAAAGATGATAAATCAAATAGTTGGTACATTGGATATTTTAACGTGGACAAAATACTTGAGCTCAAATCCTATGATCTTCCATCCGCACATGAGATTATACTTAATCCAGAGAAAAATTGGAAACGATTGACTCATGATGCAATAGAAACAGCCTGGAAAAATAGATGGACCGAAATTGCTGGAAGCAAAACAACACTCAAATACATGGAAGTTAACAACTGGAATTTTAAAAAACCATGTACATTTTTTGTACTAGTCTATATCCCGCAATGGTGGTAAGTCGTGCACTTAAGGCCATTTTTTATTTTATTTTTCTGATTACTTAGTTTTGTTTTTTTATTACTGTGTATTGTCAAGCTTGGTTACTCATAATTGTTTCTCAGTCACTGAATGTACGATGTTGTTCCATACGGGAGCAGCTGACCCGGTTTGTTTACATTCAAATTCTAATGGCTTCAAAACCACGTGACACATTGAATCGTTATATCCAATCAAATTGCTCTACTGTCAATTAGGTGATTTTTTAGTACAAGGCAATTATATTATTTGTTTGTATGATATTGCTTTGAAAAAGTTTGCAATAAATTGGGGGATTATTCAATAGGAAAACTCATTACTAGCCATGAAATTTGACATCAATGGAATTTTATATGAATATTTACTTATGGTCAGAATATCGATCTCTTTATATTAAACCAAATTTTTTTTTTATGAAAAATATATGTATATTGTTTTTTCTTAACGTACTCTATATTCCTGAACAAAAACATGGCATGATTATCGTTTGTTTCCCAAAGTTTTTCTTTCAATTTGGACGGTTTTTTTCGCGTGAAAATCGCGGAAGACGTAAGGTGCTTGCCATTTTGAAATTCTTAAAAATACGATTTGCTTGGCCTGTTTGGTCTGCCATTAAGATTGATGACGCTCAATGGAATGTAAACAAAGCAATGGAGGCCGGAAGAGGGGTTTTCTTAAGTTCTGAAATGCTTTTAGGCATTCGGAAGTCAGGTTTGAAATGGCCATTAGAAAATCTGCATTTTTGTACAATACTTAAGAATAATAATGAAAACATATCTTTAGAAATATCATTTTATTTAGAAGTGTAGAAAAAATGTATTCTGCACTAATTTTATACGCTGGTATTAGCGTAGTGACGTCAATGCGGAGTTTTCCCGTATGATAAGTACAATAACAAAATCCGAACGAACCAACGTTATGACCGATTATAAACTACGGTAGGATAGTTCCACTCACAGTGACTGAGTGAGTGTAAAGTGCACCACGCATGGGCCTATATCATTTTATCAGATAAAGCTGGAAGAGAAATGTTTCAAAAATTGCAAAAATTATAGTTAACAACGTAATAAAACATTAACCTTCCTTAAAGACGACATAGTACGAGTTGTATCTTCTGATTTTACTGGATTTTGTTTACATCAGTAATGGAAGAGCGAGTAGAGGAAATGAGAAACCAGTCTATAATATTCTAAATTCCAGTCCTCTCTCGAAACACAAGTGATTTTTCTTCGGACATGTTACGTTATTTATTCAGGAACACAATATATGTATACGGTCGGTTATTACCTGGGACCTGGGAACAGTATATATATGTTCCTGCCTGGGACTAATACATTGATTTTTATCTATTAGTCCCAGCATATACTGATACTGGCCTCTATTCAACATTTTCAATCCAGTACATTACACAACATACAGTGATTTTTATAGATATGGCACAAAATGTGCACCTGAATATAGGTATCTTGTTTTGTTACCCCCATTGAAGCAATGGTTACATTGGTTACATTGGTTACACACATGGACCTTTACTGAATGATATGCAATACCGGCTTTATAATTGACCATTTCTGCTGCAAACTGAATAGGTAGGGGTAGAGCTATTACAATGATTACATACACATTGAAGTTAGGTTACAATGGTTACATGCATGTGGAAGTCAGGTTACAATGATAAAATACATATGGTTTGGGGATAACAATGGTTACATAAATGGGAAATGATGGTAACTATGGTTACATGCATGGGGAAGTCGGGTTACAATGGTTACATGCATGGGAAATCAGGTTACAATGGTTACATGCATGGGGAAGTCGGGTTACAATGGTTACATGCATGGAGAATGAGGGTTACAATGGTTACATGCGTGGGGAAGTCGGGTTACAATGGTTACATGCATGGAGATTGAGGGTTACAATGGTTACATGCATGGGGAAGTCAGGTTACAATGGTTACATGCATGGGAAAGTCAGGTTACAATGGTTACATACATGGAGAATGAGGGTTACAATGGTTACATACATGGGGATTGCTGGTTACAATGGTTACATGCATGGGAAATCAGGTTACAATGGTTACATACATAAGGAAGGCAGGTTACAATGGTTACATGCATGGGAAATCAGGTTACAATGGTTACATGCATGGGGAAGTCAGGTTACAATGGTTACATACATGGAGAATGAAGGTTACAATGGTTACATACATGGGGATTGCTGGTTACAATGGTTACATGCATGGGAAATCAGGTTACAATGGTTACATACATGGGGAAGTCAGGTTACAATGGTTACATACATGGGGAAGTCAGGTTACAATGGTTACATGCATGGGAAATCAGGTTACAATGGTTACATGCATGGGGAAGTCAGGTTACAATGGTTACATGCATGGGGAAGTCTAGTTACAATGGTTACATGCATGGGAAAGTCAGGTTACAATGGTAACATACATAGGGAAGTCAGGATACAATGGTTACATACATGGAGATTGAGCCTTATGAGGGTTACAATGGTTACATGCATTGGAAATCAGGTTACAATGGTTACATGCATGGGGAAGTCAGGTTACAATCGTTACATACATGGGGAAGTCAGGTTACAATGGTTACATACATGGGGGTTGCTGGTTACAATGGTTACATGCATGGGAAAGTCAGGTTACAATGGTTAGATACATGGAGAATGAGGGTTACAATGGTTACATGCATGGGAAATAAGGTTACAATGGTTACATGCATGAGGAAGTTGGGTTACAATGGTTACATGCATGGGAAATCAGGTTACAATGGTTACATGCATTGAGAAATCAGGTTACAATGGTTACATACATGGAGAATGAGGGTTATAATGGTTACATGCATGGAGAAATCAGGTTACAATGGTTACATGCATGGAGAAATCAGGTTACAATGGTTACATACATGGAGAAATCAGGTTACAATGATTACATACATGGAGAAAGAGGTTTACAATGGTTACATGCATGGGGAAGTCAGGTTACAATAGTAACATACATGGAGAAATGAAGTTACAATAGTTACATACATGGAGAATAAGATTTACAATGGTTACATGCATGGGGATTGCTGGTTACAATGGTTACATACATGGGGAAGTCAGGTTACAATGGTTACATACATGGGGAAGTCAGGTTACAATGGTTACATACATGGGGAAGTCAGGTTACAATGGTTACATACATGGGGAAGTCAGGTTACAATGGTTACATACATGGGGAAGTCAGGTTACAATGGTTACATGCATGGGGATTGCTGGTTACAATGGTTACATGCATGGGGAAGTCAGGTTACAATGGTTACATGCATGGGAAATCAGGTTACAATGGTTACATGCATGGGAAATCAGGTTACAATGGTTACATGCATGGGGAAGTCGGGTTACAATGGTTACATGGATGGGAAAGTCAGGTTACAATGGTTACATACATGGGGAAGTCGGGTTACAATGGTTACATACATGGGGAAGTCAGGTTACATACTAAGTTACAATGGTTACATGCATGGAAAATCAGGTTACAATGGTTACATGCATGGGGAAGTCAGGTTACAATGGTTACATACATGGAGAATGAGGGTTACAATGGTTACATACATGGAGAATGAGGGTTACAATGGTTACATACATGGGGATTGCTTGTTACAATGGTTACATGCATTGGAAATCAGGTTACAATGGTTACATGCATGGGAAATCAGGTTACAATGGTTACATGCATGGGGAAGTCAGGTTACAATGGTTACATACATGGGGATTGCTGGTTACAATGGTTACATGCATGGGAAAGTCAGGTTACAATGGTTACATACATGGAGAATGAGGGTTACAATGGTTACATACATGGGGAATGAGGGTTACAATGGTTACATGCATGGGAAATCAGGTTACAATGGTTACATACATGGGGAAGGATGGTTACAATGGTTACATGCATGGGAAAGGAGGGTTACAATGGTTACATGCATGGGGAATGAGGGTTACAATGGTAAAATACATGGAGAATGAGGGTTACAATGGTTACATACATGGGAAATCAGGTTACAATGGTTACATACATGGTGAAGGAGGGTTGCAATGGTTACATGTATGGGGAAGTCAGGTTACAATGGTTACATGCATGGGGATTGCTGGTTACAATGGTTACATGCATGGGGAAGTCAGGTTACAATGGTTACATACACGGAGAATGAGGGTTACAATGGTTACATACATGGGGAATGAGGGTTACAATGGTTACATGCATGGGAAAGACAGGTAACAATGGTTACATACATGGAGAATGAGGGTTACAGTGGTTACATACATGGGGATTGTGGGTAACAATGGTTACATGCGTGGGAAATCAGGTTACAATGGTTACATACATGGGGAAGGAGGGTTACAAAATATTTGAAATAACATGATCATTTTTATCATATATGTAATTAACCTCAATATTAGATAGGGTAACAAATTTTGTCAACATATATAGTTATTGAGTAGAAAATAAAAGAATGCATTATCGAAGCTGAAATTTGGTATAAATAATCTTACATGTATGTACTAGACAAAAAGTATTTAATACAGGATGTAAAAAAAACATTCTTTTTCTCTAAAGTTAGTATACAAGGATGTGGTATTTCTAAGTTTGTATTTATTTTTAATTGTATTTTCATCAAAATAGTACGGCAATAAAGGCATGGACTTACAAAAAAAGGCAGGGCGTCTTAAAAAGGGCACAGGGCGTCAGAAAAAGGGCACAGGGCGGCACTCGGGGAAGGGCGGGCGGACTGCCCTGTGAAAACGACCTAGCTGGAACACTGTTTTAATTGAATAAACATTCCAAGATTTATACAAAATTGTGTTGAAGTTTTTTTTAAACATTTTAACAGATGGTTGTCAAACGATAAAAGAACAAAAAAGTTACAGGACAAAAATTCACAGGACAGAAAGTAACAAATAATTTGTTGACAATTGTTTGAATACACAGAATAAGAATAAGAATAAGAATATTTATTGAATCTAATTAAACATGTTAAAGGGCCCGTTTCCGAGCATATACATATATATATATATACAAAAGAAAGATCTTTGAATATTTTCTTTTTGTCGAGCCTGCGACTGCAAGACATAGCTATCCTACATTCTGTTGTTGGCGGCGGCGGCGTTGTCCACAAATATTCTCTCTGTGGTTAAACTTTAATAACTTTCTTAAACTATACTGGATTTCTACCAAACTTGGACAGAAGCTTGTTTATGATCAAAAGATATTATCCAGAAGTAAATTTTGTAAAAAAAAGTCCTGTTTTTCCGTAGTTTACTCATAAATGGACTTAGTTTTTCTTCCAGTTAACATTACATTTACTCTGTGGTTAAAGTTTTAAAAATTTTGATAACTTTCTTAAACTATCCTGGATTTGTAACAAACTTGGACAGAAGCTTGTTTATGATCAAAAGCTAGTATCTAGAAGAAAAAGTTGTAAAAATTTATTTCCTGTTTTTCCGTATATTACTTATAAATGGACTTAGTTTTTCTTCCAGTTAACATTACATACAGTGTGCAGTTAAAGTTTTTAAAACATTTATTAGATTCATAAATCATCATGGACGTTTACCAAACTTGGACAGAAGCTTCTTATAATCAAAAGATAGTATCTAGATGAAAATTTCTAATAATTGTTTCCCCATTTTTGTTGAACCTGCGACTAACAGCTAAAGTAAGCGAGACACTGGGTTCCGTGGAACCCTTACGAATTTTTATTACATTAGATTAGATTAGATTCTTTATTAAGATAACTAAAAGTACATTAGTGTTCTCCATTAAAAATCATATGATAATATACAAAACAACATTTCAAAGTTTCACATGTAGATCATGTACTATATATATATACATGTAATACAATTGTACACATAATTTTAAGAATTGTTTCTTATTTCTAATGCATCTCTAATAAATTTGTATAAATAATTACATTCAGTAATATTTTGTGAATTTAAAAGTTTAAAAACTGAAAAATAATTATGTGAATCTTTCAAATCTAAGATCTAAGATTGGAAAAAAGTTTGCCTTATTACTTTATATTAATCACAAGATATCAAAAAATGTTCTTTTGTCTTAACTTCAGTGCAAAATTTGCAAAAACGTTGTTCTCTTGGAATTTTGGGTTTATTATATCTACCCTTTTCTATATTTAAACAATGAGCACTGATACATAGTTGTGTAATTTTACTTTTTATACGGTCATATATTGGTATGACGTTGGCGTCGTCGTCGTCGATGTCCGGCGTCATCGTCCGAAGACACATTGGTTTTTCGCACTCTAACTTTAGTTTAAGTGAATGGATCTCTTTGAAATTTTACCATAAGGTTAAATACCACAAAAGGAAGGTTGGGATATAGTACCAACAGTTAAGGAATTAGAGGCCAAAAATAAGCATTTTCTAGTTTCCAGACAATAACTGTGGAGCGGTGTATGGATCTCTCTGAAATTATACTACAAGTTTCCATACCAAAAAGGGATGGTTAGGATTTGCTTTGGGGGGTTATTGCTCAAACCGTTTAGGAATTAGGGGCAAAAAATGGGGAAAAACAAGGTTGTCCTGGTTAATGAACAAATACTTTAGTACAAAACATAATTTAAAGCAGTGTAAGGGAGATAAATCAAATACATCATTGAAATTACCTCCCTTACACTGCTTTTAAATTATGTATAAGTAATGGTTGATGAACAATTAAGATAATTTAAAACAGTGTAAGGGAGGTAATCCAAATACAATGTTTTGGTTACTTCCCTTACATCTATTAAATTATGTTTAAAGAAACACATATTTATAAAGGAAGACCAGTAAAAATATCTGTAAATGTTTCATCTTTTTTTTTTAGAAAAAAATCCATATGAAAGATTTGACACTATATTTTAAATTCTATTATAAAATAGGTTAAGTTAGCACTATGGTAAATTTAAATGGGTATTTATGGTTGCAAACTCCATTGGAAATTTGAATTGAGATTATGACCATATCTTGAGGGAAAGAATTTTTTTTGGGGAAAAAAAGAAGGGTGGAGGTAAAAAGAAACTGTAGGGGGTCAATTTTCTCTCATTTCAGATTTCAGAAATTAAAAAGAATTATTCTTCAAATGTTATTTTTTTTTCAAATTTCAAATATTGAAAAATTTCAAGAAGTAATCTTTAATTGCACAGTATGGTGCATTAGATTTGTAAAATTTTTGACCACATTTATTTATTTGTTATGCCCAATCTAACTGTGAATTTAGATTTTTAATTTTGGGTCCAGTTTTCAAATTGGTCTACATTAAGGTCCAAAGGGTCCAAAATTAAACTTTGTTTGATTTTAACAAAAATTGAATATATGGGGTTCTTTGATATGCTGAATCTAACCATTTATTTAGATTTTTTATTTGTGGACCCCGCTATCAAATTGGTTCATATTGAGGTCGAAATGGTCCAAAATTAAACTTCGTTTGATTCATCAAAAATTGAATTATTGGGGTTCTTTGATATGCCTAATCTAACCGTGTATTTAGATTTTTAATTTTGGGTCCCGTTTTTTAAATTGGTCTACATTAAGGTCCAAAGGGTACAAAATTAAACTTAGTTTGATTTTAACAATAAACTGTTATCACAAAGATATGTCTTGCCTTTTTGTAATTTTGATAATGCAAATGTTGAAATTAAAATAGTAATACTTTAACATGTAAGTTATGCAAATATTCAAAGTCGATGAACCATGACTGAAGGTACATGGCTAAACAATCTCCATGGAATGAGATGTGCCAATGCTAATACAACTGCATACCAAATACCATTGACTTTTCATAAGTCGTTCCCTTTAAACAAACCTAAATACAAACATTAACTTGTAAACTATGTAAAAGTTTCAAAGTCAATGAACCATGATCATTGATCAGGGGTGGGGCTATATAATCTCCATGGAAACGATACTTGCAAATGCCAATAAATTTGCATACCAAATATCATTGACTTAACATTAGCAGTTCATCTTAAACTGATCTAATCACAAACTAATACATGTAAACTAAGCAAAAGTTTCAAAGTAAACATACCATGACTGAGGGAGCGGGGCCAAATATCCTCCATGGAAATGAGATGTGCTAATGCTTATACAACTGAACACCAATTAACATTGGCCTACCACTAATGGTTCCCCTTGAACTGACCTAATCACAAACTAATACATGTTAACTTAGCAAAATTTTCAAAGTCTATAGACCATGACTAGGGGGGGCGGAGCCAAATAATCTCCATGGAAATGAGATATGCCAATGCTTATACAACTGCATACCAAATATCATTGACCTACCACTAGTGGTTCCCCATAAATTGACATAATCACAAACTAATACATGTAAACTATGAACAGTTTCAAAGTCAATAGACCTTGACTGAGGGGGCGGGGCCTAATAATCTCCATGGTAATGAGATGTGCCAATGCTAATACAACTGCATACCAAATATCATTGACCTACCACTAGTGGTTCACCATGAACTAGACCTAATCACAAACTAATACATTGTTGACGCCGCCGCCGGAAACAGCATACCTATGTCTCGCTTTTTGACTCCGTCAAGGCGAGACAAAAATTGAATTCTTGGGGTTCTTTGATATGCTGAATCTAAACATGTGTTTAGATTTTTGATTATGGGCCCAGTTTTCAAGTTGGTCCAAGTTGGGGTCCAAAATTAAACTTTTTTTTATTTCAACAAAAATTGAATATATGGGGTTCTTTGATATGCTGAATCTAACCATGTTTTTAGATTTTTTATTTGTGGGCCCCACTATCAAATTGTTTCATATTGAGGTCAAAAGGGTCCAAAATTAAACTTTGTTTGATTTCATCAAAAATTGAATTATTGGGGTTCTTTGATATGCCAAATCTAACCGTGTATTTAGATTTTTAATATTGGGTCCTGTTATTTAAATTGGTCTACATTAAGGTCCAAAGGGTCCAAAATCAGACTTAGTTTGATTTTAACAAAAATTGAATTCTTGGGGTTCTTTGATATGCTGAATCTAAACTGTGTTTAGATTTTTGATTATGGGCCCAGTTTTCAAGTTTGTCCAAGTTGGGGTCCAA